AGGGCTTTCTGCTAAGCAGCCACCTTGGCTTCCAGCTTCCCTACCCCCCTTCCCCAGGGGTCTGTGGTGTGGATTTCAGTGAAAGGAGATGCTACTGGCGTGGCTGCGAGGGGGCAGTCACCGAAGCTCCTGCCACTCCCACCCCCAGGATCAATTGGTCCTGCATTCCAGCCCAGGAGATGAGAAGCAGATGGTGCTGGTGTGGAGAAGGGAGTTGTAACAGAGGGACAGTGAGACCCTCCTTCCAGCCAGGCCCCTGGAGAGAGATTGCGGGGGGGGGGGAGGATCTCAGAGAGAGCTTGTGGGGGGTAAAAGGGGCAGTGAAGCATCCTCGAAATAGAAGATGAAAGGATAAAGTGCCCGTCTCTTCTGTCCAACACGACAGGTGCGACACTGCTGGTTTTCTCCTCCAAACAGCCACAGGAGGGAACTTGGCAAGGGGAAGTGGACAGCAGGGTGTGGGACGACAAGGAGAGATGAGGAGGAGACTGAGAGGAATCTCAGCTCTGGGGCAGGAGGCTCCATGGTGGAATGAGTTCCAAGAGGGCAGGGGCACCTTCTTCCCAGCCAGGCACAGTGCCCTCCCTACCTCCATCTTTGTTCCCCAGAGTTCTCTTTCTTGCCCTCTCCTAACTCAGGCTTCTCTTCCTTGAAGCCCTCCCTGACTGCCTGCAGACACCAACAAAGATATTTCCATCCTTGTCTTCCTAATGGTGTGGAGGGGGCTCAGGTGTAACCTCTGAGCTATGAGTGGTCTCAGGTGGGGCCCTCCCTTTCTCCCTCTGGGCTCCTGCAAGATGGTGACGTGGGATTCCTTTGCCATGGTCACGGAGCCATGGGACCTGGCATAGGGGGGTGTAGGGCCCCTTCCCCTCATCATCTTACTCTGGGCAGCTTACCCATCCCAACCCCCACTGCTCTGGAGAAGGGCCACAGCTGGGGAATGAGAAGCGTGACACACAGGTTTGTTTTAAACATTTTATTTATAAAAAAGTACATTTTTTTTCCTTAGTACATTTTTAACCCATTTTTTTTTTTTTTTTTTTATACAAGTAAAAGGAGGTGATGCAAACACCCCCTGGGTCAGAACCAGGAGAATCTGCCGGGCAGTCCCCAGGACCAAAGACGAAACCAGGACAAAGAAACTGAAGCAAAGGATCACACTAAGAGGTAAGGGGTGGCAGCTTCTCCTTGATTTTGTTTTCATTTATACAAAAAAAGAATCCCGTTCCTCACAGCAGGGGTCAGAAAGGCAGCAGCACCTGTGCGGGAGGGTCTCCTCTGGCCTTTTAATCAGGGCCTAGGCATTAAGGCCCTCAGCACGGGCACAGCAGAGGCCTACTTCCCTGGAATCCCTGGCTCGAGGTGGTTGTGTACCTGCCTGTGGCCAGAGCAGGTCTCCCCTTGGGTGTGGGGGGTCTTGGAGGGGGTTACTGTTGACAGTCAGACTCTGGAGATCTCTGTCTGAACCGCCAGAGGCCTTGGACCCCCTCATCTGCTCCCAAGAGGGGAGCACCTCTACTAAGCTCAACTGAGCTGCCCACATCCACCTAGTCCCCACCAATTCCTAACACAATTCTTGATTCCTCTGCTTGAAGGATGGCAGAAGAATTATTGCACAAGTGACTTGGGCACATAGGGGGTAGTTGGCGTAGGGGGCACATGCCCCTGGGAAGTGGGGCCTCTGTGAGTCTGGCCTATAGAGTCAGCACTGGGACATTAAGGGTTCTTCTCATGGCTGCATGTGGGTACGTGCGTCCGGCAGGCCTTGCTCTTTCTGCATGTGCTGAGCTTGTGCTGGGTGACTGTGCTTGGGTCTGTCTGAGTGTGTGCCCACTGTGTGCCACTGTGTGCAGAGCTGCATCTGAGGGGCTGCCTTGGCAGGCGTGTGTGCATGGGCTCCGTGCTGCCGCTTCCAGATCCTTCTGGAAAAGGGGGACTCAGATGGTCCCGTTTATACTTTAGAACAGTATCAAAATGTATAAGGAAATAGGGGTTGAGGGGGACAGGGACAGGGAGGGCAACAAGAGGCAGAATAACAACTGGGGAGGCCTTGGCACAATGAGTTTATCTCATTTCCAGCAGAGGCGGAAGCTTAGCTCATGCTGTGGGCTTGGAGAAGCAGTGGGTCCTCACCTCTCTGACAAGTCAGGCTTCCTCTGTGCTGCTGGTTAGGCCTCTTGCTGTATCTTGGGGTCCAGCAGCAGTGCCTATCCTCCCATGAACTTGGGATACAGAAAACCCCATCTCTCTAGGCCCAAGTGCCAACCCTGCCCAAGCCTACCCTCAGCCCAGGGCAGCATTGGATTACTCAATAAGGAAGATATGCACAGGCTTACTTGTGCTTACTTATGAATCTGTAATGAAGTTTCACATGGGTTTAGATGTGGTGAAATCCATGTGAAACCGCTCAATACAGATTAGTAAGTAAGCACAAGTAAGTCCATGCATACCTTGCTTATTAGATAATCTGCCCCTGGCCCAGGGAAGCAGATGTCCGGGGTGGGCATGCTACTGCTCAGCTCCTGGGCCTATACTCTGTGGGCCCCACAATTTGTGCTTTGCTTGGGGGGAGGTTGTAGAGATGTCTTAAGGGTGACTTAGTGCTTTGGCTAGGCCCAGGGGCCTCCTAAGTCCATCATATAATGAGGAGTAGGGGTGGCAGTGCAGGGTAAGGAGGGGGAGATATAGGAGGAGTCGTCCTTTCAGTCTCTTAATTTCAAGGGGATACAGAATGCCTCTATCAGGCAGGCCTCTGGGATTGCCTTCTGCTTGGGGGCAAGAGGACCAAGCATAGGGGCCAGAGGAGGTGATATAAGGTGGTATAGGGCAGTGATGCAACATGGAAAGGGTCCTCTGCCCTGTGGGGGGACACTAATACTGCTTGCAGCAGCCCAGGAGGCTCTCTGGATCCAGCTCCTTCACTTCTCTCTGCCCTGTAACTAGAAAGACCCCAGAATTTTCTTCCCCAACTCTACCCCACCCAGTACCCCCAATGCCAAAAGGGGAGAGCCGCCCCAGGGCTGGCATGGCTTCAGACTTCTGCTACGTGGCTACTGGGCGGCCTGGCTGGGGCTAGGGCAATGGTAGCTGGGCAAGGGTAATCCAGTAGGTGGGCCCAGGGTTGCCAGGGCAGAGATGGAGTTGGCTGGGGGTTCAAGTAGCAGCACCAGGGAGGGAGTAGTAGTGTGGGTGGCTGGGCAGCTCCTCTGGGAAGCCTATGGTAGGGTAGGGCAAGGTAGTGCCCGTGGGGCACAGAGTGTTCTGCCTCCCCCCCCATCCCAACACTTGCCATCCCATGGAGCCCTTCACACCCTGGGCTGAGTTAACTGGAATCTAGTGGGCAGGCATGACAGGGTCCTTGGATCCTGCCTTTCCCATCCCAGGGGTCTTTCCCACTAGTATGCCCATCTAGAGTGCTGGGGGAGTCTGGTGGGCAGATGGAAGAATTGAGGCACTTTGAGCTGGGGGTACAGAAAGGCTGGGAGGGAGCCTTTCTCCATTGTACAGATGGGAAGCCCAAGTCATGGGTGATTGGCAGGGCACCCAGAGTCCCATCCAAGAAGGGGAATCTGCATTCAAAGGGAGGGCTTCTCCAGAGTCCTCCCTTCATCCCAGAATGGGGACCAGGGACATCTGACTGTGGCAGAGTAGAGGGTTCTGACTCATGATCCCTGGTTTCCCCACCCCTTGCACTTTCTGGTAAGTCCATAACAACATCTGTTGTGGCCTAAGGGTGAGAGGCATCAGTCTGTTATCATCGGAGCCTACCAAACTTGACCACAGGCTGCCAGACAGCTTCTCCCCCATGGCTTCCTACTCCACGTCCTCCACATGACACTTCTTCACCTCCAACTCCTGGAGGTCCTTCCCTCACTGGGGTCCCAGCCCTGACTCCTCTCCTCCCCAAGAGAATCAAGAGTTGCTAGCACTTGATAGATAAGAGAGAAATTCGAGAAAGTTCTGTGCTGTAATAGGCAGTTTGGGGCCAGATCTGAGATCCTAGGGCCGAGGCATCAGGGGATCTAGTCTTAGCCACCCTAGAAGCTTCTAAAGGCTGCCCCCATTCTCAGCTGGGAAGGGGAGCGGGGTGGTGCAGAGAGGATGAGCCTTGGGCAGTGTCAGCCTGGATAAGGGATGTGACCCCAGAGGAGGGCAGGACAGTCATGAGTGGGGTGTGCATGTCTGTATGTGTGTTGTGTAGATGGATAGGAAGTGTAGGCAGAATCCACCCTGCAGGCCCACTGTGTGTGGGTATAGATGCAAGGGGCAAAAGAGGAGGGACACGCCAGGGCTGGGCCAACAGAACTCTCTATAGGCCAATGAGGGGAAAAAGTGTAAAACCATCCTCACTAGCAAACACATTGCCCAAGGCCCAGGTGGGGACCTCAAGTTGATTCACTCAGCAAACAAGACGCCCCTGGGTGCTTTGGAGAAGATACCTCCCCACCCCCGCCTCTGGGGAACAACCGCTGATTAGACCAGGGGTCCAACCCCGGCTGGGTCAGCGTTTGTGGGGATTGGTTCTCTCTCCCTGGGAAAGGAGGAGCAGCGACTGGAGGCGGGGCGGGGTTTTTCCTCAACAGGTCCCCTTAGCCCTCCACCCCCAATGAAGAGAACACAAATAAATTCCAGTGTTGGGGGGCGGGGAGGGCTGGCTCCCCAAACCCTGGAGGGACGCCCAGGAACACAAGACGAGAACAGGGCTCCCTGCACAGAGGGCAGGCGGCTGGGGACAGGAAAGGAAAGGTACAGCAACACCAAAGCCACAGGCGAACACAACACCATCGGGAAGGGCAGGGCAAGGGAGGAAATAAAAAAAACAAAGCCAAGTAGTGTCTGCCCTGGGCTCCCCTCGCTCCCCAGGAGTTTGGGGCTGGCTCTGGGCAGCTTGGTGAGTCTTGGTGAGCTCTCCAGGAGTGGGCTGCGGGGACGGGCAGGGGGCGTGCGGGTGGGGGCTGGAGAGAAGTGAGTGCAGACAAGAGGCTCTGGAGAGAGGGCTACACGTACCACTCCTTTTTGGAAATGAAAGACCCGTCGTTCTGAGAAACCATGTTCTCAGCCAAGTCCAGCTGCTCAGGGTCGTACTGGTAGCCCAGAGTCCGGTCCCCATAGCCATCCTGACGGGCCTCTGCCTCATCCACCGTGAAGTAGGGCCGTTTGGCATCCTCGTCGTACTTCGGGTGGGGGCCTCCCACCTTGCGCTCGCCTCCACCACCACCCTCCTCTTCCTCTTCTTCTTCGTAGCTGCTTCCCCCCAGCGGGCCAGCCTTCTTCTCATCATCAGAGTCATCAGGGTATTGCAGGTTCTGGGCCATGGGTGGGTGGTGCTGGGGAATGCCTGCCTTGCTGTAGCCATTGCCATACACATGCTTCTTGGTGCTGTAGTCGCCCTTGAAGGTGTGGCGGCGCCTGCGCAGGGCGACCACGATCCCGCCGACCACAATCAGCACCAGCAGGACGCTCCCCACCACGCCCCCAATGATGGCCGTGGGCACAGGCCCGGCGCGCCGCCCGTGTTCGGGAGGAGACGGGGTGTAGGGGAATTCTGGATGAGGAAAAGAGATGGAGGGGGACAATGTCAGCGTCTTCTTCTGGGGCAGGCCATAGGGAGAGAGGGGAAGGAAAGGCCAGGAGGCGGGTTGAAGGCGTGAGGACAGGCTGTGCATAGGCACGCCCAGTCCGAGAAGCTCCATTCCCGGGCCCCTCGGCCCCCACCCCTCTAGGAGCCCCAACAAACTGCAGCATAGGTAGTTAGAGCGGGAAGAGAGAGGCAGAAGAACAACAGCTTCTTTCTCTGAGGAGAAAGTCATCTCCTTAGATGAAGTGCTAGCCGGGCTTAGCCCACCAGAGGTCCAGGAGATACCTGTGCAGTCCCGTCTCAGCACCTACTAGAGGCCATGCCCTGTGCAATACTGTGGCTCCCAGCTCTCTCAGAGGTAGGCATACCACCAACTTGATTTAAGGAGGAAGTGGGGTTTGGAGAGGTTAAATAACTTGCTCAAGGCCACGCAGCCAATGAGTTGACTCTCTTACATGCAAAGCCTGTGCAGAGTCACCACTGTTTTTCTGCTTAACATCTGGTGGGCACAGTGCTCCAACACTTGGCTCTAGTTACTAGTTTCCTAGACTTAGTTCAAGCCCGGGGGAGGCTGGGTGCTCCATGCCTGATTTTGTCTGCTCCTCAGGCATAGGGAGAAGAATGGGTTCCCAGGTACTGGCCCAGCAGGTGCCCTGTGAGTACTAATCAGGTGGCAAGAAATAAGGGCTGTGGTTCTTGGTTGCGGTCTGGCCCTGCAAGGCAAGGTGGGGCCAGGGATGCTGCCAGCAGAAGACAGCAGCATTGTGGGGTGCTGGTAGGCAGGGCAGAAAGGGGGAGTGAAAGCATGTGTGCATCCAGCAAAGGAAGAATATACAATTACATACAGGAGAGCAACACAGTGGCTCACACTGTGGTCACTGTGTGATGAATGTGTTTGTACTGAGGATAGTGGAGACAAGGAGGTAGGAAGGGTGAAAAAAAGAAAAAAGAAACAGGTGGGAGTGGACAGAAGGCTGAGTGGGCAACTTTCTTTGCTAACGGGCCTGACCAGAGTACTGTTCCAGCCTGGGAAGGTGTGTGAAGCCATGTCAGAGGCCAAAGGGGTCCCAAGGTAAGGCTAGGGGAGGTAGTTCCCAGCACCACCACAGGGTGGCACCGGAGACCACAGCCAGCCTTGGGAGTCCAGGTCAGCAGGTCTCCAGGGCAAGCCCAGAAGGCTGATCTGGGCTTCTCTCTCTTCCACTTTTCAGGCCAAAGTAAAAGGGTTAGTTTGGGCATATGTTTCAGCCCCTGGGAGCTTGTTCCCGCCAGCTCATTCCCTGACTCAACATCACTCACTCCGCCAGCATCAAGTTCTCCTAGGAGTTCATCCTTCCTCCCAGAGGTAGAGCTGGCCCATGCGTGTGCATGTGTTGTATGTGTGTGTGTGTGTGTGTGTGCTCATAGCTCATCTGCAGCAAGCAGGGACAGGGTAGAGATACTAGAAGAGAAGAGGAAAGGCCTTCCCGGAGTTCAGGCTGGAAGCACTAATGTCTCTAAAACCCTGGGGCCCAAAGAAGGGGAAGCAGTTTGCCCAAAGTCACATGGCTTAACTGGGACCACCCAGTGTTCCATTCCTGGCCTCTGCACACGTGGGGGTTGGCAAGAGAGAAGCAAAACCACTGAAGACTCAGCTCCCCACTTGTTACCACTGTGTCCTCAGTACAGGTCGCTGAGTAGCTGCCCAGTAAATATTTATTAAATGGATGCCTATGTGTTCTGACGGGAGCGCTGGTAGCATAGTGGCTAAGACACTTGCCTGCTAACCAGACGGCTGGCGGTTCAAACCCACCAGCCACTCCTCGGAAGGAAGGTTGGGCAATCCTACTTCCGTAGTGATACTGCCTCGGAAACCCAAGGAGGGGTCGCTATGAATCGGGGCCAACTCGACGGCACATAACAACAACAACAAATGTGTTCTGACTGCCTACCTCCAGAATCAGCTCCCTGGAACTTCAAGCCTCTCCTGGCTCACCAGGTCCCCATTTGTTTACTGCCCATAACAGGGCTGCACACCTGCTCCCCATGAGGTAGGAGCTGCTTCTTTAAGGGTGTTCCAGAGGCAGCTGGCAGGAACCTCTTGCACACTTTCACCCTGCCTGCCCCCTTGTCAATTCTCACTCCAAATCTGAATTTTCCTCTTCTCTACACGTGCCTTCATCCATTCATCCATCCACCCATCCATTCAATCAGCAAACGTGTACTGAGCATCTATTATGCTAATCATAGCCTAATCGTGGGTTCAAATGCCACTCTTAAACACAAAGTATCATGCAAACATCAAGGAAATGGGCAGTGAAGTGCCACAGGAGTGAAGGGGAAGAACACTGTGACCTGGAGTTGAAAAAGGCTTCTTGGAAGAGAAGTGAGTTAAGTCAAACCTTGAAGGATGGCAAGGAGTTGGAGAGGCCAAGAAGACAACAAAGGTGCCCAGGTGGAGGGAGCTGGCCTTTCTTTTCTGAAAAGTTCTCCCTGCCTTCCAAGACAGGATCTTGGTCTTCCACTGTGTGTTTTCTCTGGCTCCATTGCTGGGCTTTCTCAGTGCCCCAGTTGCCTCACTAGGGGTCCTGTTTTACCCTAGGCTTTCTTTCCTAGTGATGGATCTAGTCTCAGTTTCCTGAGTTACCTTTATCACTGAGTTCCCAAACCATCTCATGTTAGGACTCTCACTCAACTCTGAGGTCTCATGGACAGCATTTCCCAAATTGCAGCCTATGGAACCTCAAACCGTTAGTTCAGAGGATCAGCAAAAATACTAGAGTCAAATACATCTGTAAACAGTTGGTTTAAACAAAGCCTCAGAGCCCTTAGTCTTCTCACACATACTGAACCTGTGAAAGGGACATGCAAAATTCAGTGTTGCCCAATTGTTTTGAGTATGAACCCTCACCTCTACTGCCTCCAGGACCACCTTACCAAACCCAAACCAAACCCACTGCCATCGAGTTGACTCCAACTCAAAGCAACTCCCACTGGGTTTCTGAGGTAGTAAATCTTTACAGAAGTAGACTGCTCTGTCTTCCTTCTGCAGAGTGGCTGGTGTTTGAACCACCAATCTTGTGGTTAGCAGTTAAATACTGTAGGCACTGTACCACAGGCCACCTTATAGGACAAATATTCAGAGGTATTCTGAAAACTCTTCTCTAGCATACTCTCATTTGGAATTCTCACCACCACCTCAAAAGCCATCTGTTCCAACCTGTTTCACCATCTTTTCTCTAAACCTTCATTAAACACCACAACTCCCCTGTTTCTGCCCCTGACCCACCATTTGTTCACTCTTCCAAATCAGACTCTCATTGACCTCTGACTCTTCCTTCTTCATCTCTTAGATCAAGATCAGTTTTTGTTAACCCTTCCTATTCAATATCTCATTACTTTGTGCCTTGTTTTACTGTTGTAATAGATTCCTGAATCTCTCACCTTCCTTTGGCCTCTGCTGGGAGCTCTGGTGGTGTAATGTCTAAGGCATTTGACTGCTAACTAGAAGGCTGGCGGTTCAAACCCACCAGCCACTCCTCGGAAGGAAGGCTGGGCAATCTACTTCCGTAGTGATACTGCCTTGGAAACCCAAGGAAGTGTTGGTTATTATGAGTTGGATCTGACTTGACAGCAGTGAGTTTGGTTTTTTGCCCTTTAGTCATCCCATCTACAGAGACCAAGTTAATTTTCACTGTGTAGACACTGCTACTCCCTCTAACCATCAATGACTCCCCACCGCCTGTTGGACCAGGCCAGTCTAGCTTTCAAAGCTTCCCATCCGATCATTTTATCTTGGGTTTGGCCAGCTTACTTTCCTTGCTTTGTAAGTTGATTCCTGACTGCCTTTGCTCATGCTGTTCACCCTGCCAAGAAAGCCTTTCCTCTTGCCCCTGCCTATTTCAATTCTTCAGTCCCTTCTTCACACAGCCTTCTTTTCTCCAGCTCACACGTATCTTTTTCTCATTAGATTTTTTTTCATCCTAATGGTCTGTACCTCTCATTGTGGTTTACGCAATTGTCATTACTGTTCCATCAATCATATGCTGATTATTACAGTAAAGCTGGCAATAAAAACACTTTACAAAAAATGCAAACTAGGATCTACTGTGATTGGCTTTGCCCCTTCTGCCTGTTTTCAAATAGGGGGAGGCTGCAGTTCTTCCCTTCTGCAGGCATGAGGAAAGGGTTTTAGAAGTGGGAGCCTCACAATTTGGGATCGACTCAATTCAGTGTGCTATAGTTGTGTACAATATAAGTTCCACTATATTTATTTTTGTGTTTTTTGTGGCCCCAGAGACCAAATGAAAAATAAAGCTCTCATACGTTTCACTTGACTGGAGTGAATATTTTGGACCCCACCAATCACAGAATGGTAGAGTTTATTTACTCTGTTACTTGTTTCACAGGTATGGCTTGTGTTCCAAACTACTCTGTAAATTCTAATTGAAAGCAAATCTAGAACCCATCTCCGTTCCTACAACCCTGGTCCAAGCCACCATCCTCTGGATGATTACAAATCAGTCTAACTGGCTTGCCTGGTCCCCTTCTTTTCCTCTATAGCCTATTTTCAACACAGTAGCCAGAGAGATCCTATTAAAATGTGAGTCACATCATAGCGCTTCTCTGCTCAGAGCCCTCCAATGGCTCTCCCTGTTTCACTCCGAGTAAAAGTGAAATCTGTAGCACTTAAAATGTTCTACATGATCAGTTGCCGGTTCCCTTCACCTCTGACTTCATCTCCTGCTTTCTTACTGGCTCTCTCCACTCCAGGCACACTCCCGCCTCACAGCCTTTGACTTGGCTGATCCTCACCCTGGAAGGTGCTTCGCCAGGTGTCCCATGTCGCACTCCTTCACCTCCCTTAGGGTTTGGCTCAAATGTCATCAAGACTTTCCTTGGTGATGGCCCCTTCACCCTCACTCTTGACTCTCCCTTACCCTGCTCTTCTTTTCTCCATAGTACTTATCACCTTCAAAATTATGACA